CGATTGAGGATGATCGTGTCAACATTGATCAGCATTAATTCGATAATTGGTTGTTATGGAAATTAAAGAAAATAGTGGCAACGCAGAGTCGGACAAAATTTCATCGAAGAGCTTCGATTTTCCTTGCTCTTACTTTTGCATCATGTACGCAGTGGATGATGGAAGATAAAAATCGGCGATTAGGAGATCGTCGAGCGTATCATTTCACAGAGAGAATTAAATCGAAGGTTGGTCGTGAAGAAAACGAGAAGTGGCATTGTGCACAGTGGAATCTGTCGAATGGCTGGTTGATTAGCTCATCGTGAAACGAAAGAACCTTGCGATCGTAATAAAGCATGCAGATAATGTTGATAGTTGAAACATCGAAGCGTAAAAATACTGTGTAGGAGATCGCGATGATCGCGTTGCTCGAAGAATTAAACGCGGCTAGTTCGCCGAACGATTGTTCCAGTTTTCTTGCATTCCCTAATACCTCGAATAACTGTAATCGATCGTTAGTTCATAGATGTAAGTTCATTGAATAGGAAATATCGCTTCTGGATCATCCGCGCGATTGAGTCAAAAATACCGTGCACAGCTTTGCTATGGTAACACGATATTATGGCAGTACTGGAATATTTGATGTGTTGAATATTTTAGAAAGCAACGCGAGCCGTGTCATGCTCTACAACGAATCCCTTTGCCTTTAAACTAAATCGATGCCTTATCATTTGCTTATTATTAATTTACTTATTATTTATCTTCGTGGATAACACCGTGGATAATTAGACCGCAGGTTTCACGTTTTTATGCTACAAATGAATATGCGAGACACAGGAACAATATGGAACAGGAACAAATTTCGCAACAATTTCAGGACAGACCGTGAATTCGACGAAACGTAAAGTCACATTCGCAAAAGTTATTGGCAAAAATACAAATGCTGAGTCGACAAAGCTGCTTGATCTTGACAGACAGGCACCAACGTCGCTGCAGGATTTCGGCTTATTTTCAAACTGAAATTTCGTGCAACGAAATATATCTCGAATTATTCGACACAATAACAGAACAGTTATTCGATTATTCGGATTTCACTATTTTTTCAATTGAGCCGTCTATTTTGAAAGTGGCATAAGTCACTTCGTTTTTAAGTCGATATATTTAAGAGTTTGCGTTTCAACACCGTTTAAAAATATGGATGCTAACTTTCGAGAAGATTTACTTGTATTTGTTATCTCAGTATAAATAATTTCGTATAATAACCTATGTTATTAGTTACCTATAATATCAATTTATACTCGGTAAAAAGATTGTCTCGCGTATCGATCGCTTCAGATTTGGACAACGGCGAACGTCGGAGAACCGAACGAACGGTCGAGGTTTTACCGTACACGGGATGAAAGCGTAAAGAAACGAAAAAAAAAGGAAAAAGAATCTCATCTTTTATTAATTTTATGATGATGACGTCCCCAGCACGACGAACGCGTCACCGTAACGATTTTCGCGAAGGTCCCCGATGGTAAAACTCCAGGAAGTCGTCGAACCATTTTAATGGCCGCCGCGGGACCACGTTGCGTTTTTTTTTAAATGTCTCAACCTCGCCAAGAAAATTACGTGCCAGGCACAAACGGACACGCGGGGAACAAACACGCGTGTGCGGTCGGGTGTGTTCTCTCGGACGCGAGCTCGCGAGCGCGCGCGCTCGCAACGGCGGAATATATTATATGTTGAGATAAGTAGGACTCGCGGACAATCGGAAACGCTGGTGGGAGACATTGTAAACATACTATGATATTATCAACGACGCTCCGGTGAAAGTTCCTGTCGTTCGCCGCTGTCCGATGACCGCGTACACACCGATTGGCCAACGTGGATTCCAGAATAAAGCCGCGATACGCGTGTATTTCGTGTTAGCGCCGTCGAGATCGCCGCTTAGGGGACCGTACAGCGATTTGCATATTTGAGAAATGGGATCTCGTTCGCGAATAATGAGCGGGAAAGGAGAGAGAGAGAGCCGGACCTCGCTGGCAATTTTTAAACAAGCTGCTCCGTTTTTCTGCGGCGAACACTTTGTGTCCCCGGATTTCCGCCTCTTTCTCCGAACGCGGTCTTCGCGGTCTTTGCAGTCTTTAAACAGATCTCTCGCGTCTTTGTTCTTTTGATCGGCTTTGTTTTTATTAGGTCTCGCGAACCGTAAGAATGTCGAAGATGTACCGTGAATTCTCCCTAATCGACGCTGAGATCGTACAGAAAAATGGACAATTAGGGAACAGGAGATGCGATTATTCGAGCCTTGCGACGCGTTTTCGTAGTTGTTTTGACAATCGGTGAGTATATAATTGTCCATTTTTGTATAGTATTTGAGCGTGAATTACAGAGAATTTATTGTAATACGATGCCATACGACTTGACTTTTCGATTTTATCTCGACCAAATAATATACTTCGGTTTTATAAAATTTTGCGAGGTTTCGGTGTGGCAGAAACGCGATTTTTAATTAATGGAACTAAAAATGGAACGTGAATCGTAGTCAATTATATTTCAACCCTTTTGCATGCGCTACATCCCAGTGAAATGAAGTCTGTATGTTACAATTAATCCTGGTTAATTATTATTTATTATTTAATTAGCCCATGGTCGAAGCTATTCGAATTCGAAATCCAAAACATGATTTCTGATCTACTGTAGTTCTATTTTATATAATTTATTGCGACTTATGCACGTGAAATCGAGCCTGTTGACAAGTACAATGCAATTTTAATAGTTTCTTTTCAAGTAGAAACAAGTCCGATGCTCTTAGAATGATTTTGAAAAATGGTACACCAATTTTTAGTGGCGCCTCAGAGTCGCCATTCGAGTGCAAAGGATTAATATTTCGTTTTCGATTAATTCGTTGCACCCACGTCTATAATTGGCATTTTTTTTTAAACAACCAGCAGATTTGATATAATTTGATATGTCGTGTTAACAATTAGCAATTAACAATTAGAAAGGCTTCGTTGTTTCGAGTCCACGATGAATGTAGAAATTAGCCAAAAATTACTGTCGCAACGTGTTAAATTTAAAACGACTATGATTTAATAAACGAAATAATTTCCCTCGAAATGTCTCGGTTCGCTATCTTGCGCATTGTTTAACAAACCACTTTTACGGATGCAAATATTACATTCGAGCCAGAAGGAACACTTATCTGTTGGTTTTACTGTACTCCCCCGTGCATTATCTCGAGTCCTCATTTTTTTCCAAGGATTCTTATCAATACGGTAGGCCTCGTACCCGAGACCTATAAATATTAAATTAACTAAACTAACGCGCAACGTGCATTGTACCTTTAAGTATCGTACAACACAATCTGAGCTGCCCCGTGCAGACGGGAATCGAACACAAGGCACGTTTTCTGACTCGTTAGGAAAAAGCACGGGAAGATCCTTCAAGAAATGCAAATTCTGGCTCAATATTGACGGACCGGCACCTAGAAATTTTCGACAGGGTTACGTTCCGTTTCCGCCGGACCGGAAATTACGTATGTTTGCAGTCTCTATTTTTAAACGTTAGAAACTACAAATTCGAATTCGCTATTGACACTTCGACTGCCGCGTCGCACGATACGTGGGCTGCAGAATTATTTAAAAATTCATTTTCGCGCTGACCCATTCTGGTTTCTCAAATCTATTAAGATTCGCAAGAGATAAGAATGCTAAAAAGAAGCAACTGATGTCAATATCGCGCGCTTCGCTTTGCAATTTTAATTCAATTGAGTCAAATGCTTTAATTTTACAAAACTTTTGAGATCTTTTTATGTTAAAATATTTCCCTCAAATTCTTCTCACTTTCTCGTTTGAAAAAAAATGAGCTCCATTCGAGGACAACCGTTGACATTGTCGAACCTTTGTTCACCATTTCCCACGAAAGGATCAATATTCCGTGAAATTTCTGCGGCTCTCCGGCTGACATAACAGCCGAATTATCAGCAGAGAAATGCCTCGGCTTTTGCAGAACGGAAACGCTGATCAGGCTTACCACGAGCAAACAGACAGCAATTGGCCGGTCTCGGCGAGGCGCGCTTGTTTCTCGAGCCGAGTCCTTATTTTTCATTGATCTCGCCGAGGTCGTTTCGTTTTAATCCTCGCACGACGACGCGTACATAGATCTGCGCGCGCGCGCGCGCGCGGATCCAGCCGCTAGAAAGCTGCCCCGCGTTGGATTCCGCTTGCTTCTCGGTTGTACTCCTCCGTGATTAAAGAATTAAGCAATTTACTGGCTCTGCCTGTGTGTGTGTGTGTGTGTGCAAACAAATCGAACGGCCTAGAAAAACGTTCCCCGCGTTCTGGATGAGAAAATGGTATTGATAAAGAGACTACGAGGTGCGGCGGAAAATGTTGCATTCCTTTCATCACCGAAGAATCGGTTTTAATCCTAGAAAGGCAAGCTGATCGCTCGCTTGAATCAGACTTTCGGAGCGTGCGCAACGAACAAATTATTCCCTTTTTACCATAGAAATAGGTGGATATTTTGAATCTCATAATTGTCGCGTTCAGATGAATTTGACTTTCGGACTCTTTCTCGTTCGTGCTGACTGAAACTTGTTAATTGACTCTTAGGTAGATAATTAGCTTCAGCGAATATTATATATATTATATTATATTATATTATATTATATTATATTATATTATTAATATATGTATATTATATTTAAAGCGCAAACATTTAATTGCCCTCGCGGCCCTATTTTATCGTTTACATTAAATTAGAGCGACACATACACATCAGTATTTATTCATTATTATTCATTAATATTTGTATTCGTATTTATATCGTATTATTAATTACTATTCATTGATTGAATTGTAGGGATAACAAATTATTTTTAGTTTTTTCCCCCAGAATCAGTCATTATTCGATCTTAAGTTTATCTCGCGGTTTATTATTCTCAATGTTTCGCGATGGATAAAACTGCTCGCAATTCTTTTGTAGAATTAAAGCGTTGTTAACTAAACGTATTTCTTTGTTCTGATTCGAAGTTCTCAGCGGGGGCGAGTTTGGCGGCGCAGGGAACGCCACCACCACTTCGAGCAAAGTGAAGCTGTGCGGTGCCGATTTTTGCGTTCTTGGAAACGGAGGCCACGACAACCTGGAACGTCCTCCGGAGGACGAGATCTACAAAATCTCCTCGATTTATCTAACCTGTGTAATCGTTGCCGTAATCATTGTCGCTCTCTTCGTCGACCCCCTCTCGAGGTGAGTTTACAATTTTTTCGTTCGATCTTACGCGCGTGGTTTGCTCCGCTGTCTAATTAGACAGCGCACAGTGCAATGCGCATACTTGGCATCGAGAAATGGCCGAAATTATTTTATTGGTTCATGCGATACCAAATGTACCCGAGAATTAAATAACGTCGGTGTTCTGCTATGATTTCATAAAAAAGTCAGAGGCTAAAGAATCTTCAAAGAAAATTAATTTTTACAAATACTATATTTTTATTCATAAAATATATTTATTATTATATTATTATATTACTTATTATTATGTATATATATATATATATATATATATATATATTTATTTATTTATATATATATTATATTATTATATTACTACTATATTACTACTTCGTAAAAAGATGACAGGATAAAGTATCTTCAAACAAAAGAAATTTTTACAAATACTATATATATATTTTTGTCTGCGTTGTTTTACTTTGATAGGAATTTGATCTAACGGAATACATTTTGTTTCATAAACAGAAAACCGAACTGATCTTAATTCGATTTTAATTTGATTTTAATTTGAATATAATATATAATAACAAATTCTACGTGGATCGATTAAAATGCAACGTGCATCGCCGAATTGTTGGGAATAATTTTAATATCGCAGCTCGATACAGAATATAATATTTAATGAAACGCGAGTGAAGGATAATGAAAAAATCCCACGTAAGATTCTTCAACTCGACTTTTGGCCAGTTTTCGAGGCCAAACTCCTCCTCCGCTGTGCAACGTCTACTCGAACATCTGGCTTTCCGCAACGCGCGCTGACCTTTAATTTTTCATTTCTCTATCGCTTCGTGATTAACACCGGGTGGAAATGTCGGCTGCGGCTCGTAATAATCGTATTTATCGGTTTATTTATACGTTGTGACATTCACTGTTGCGTTACGAGGCGCAGCTCGGCCATGAGAAATGAAATTCCACCGTCGGAGACAGTGTAACATTGAAAAATTACTTTCCAAGCATTAATAGTTAATAATTCATGTTCGTCTTCTGCGCGCGTCCTCCCGCCTTTCCCCGAAGCGTCGACGACTCCAAGAATTTCTCGTCTTGTTCGAAAGCATTAATCAATTTCCCGTTTTTCCTTTGTTTCTTCTTTACTTTTTTTTTTTATCCTAATGCCCGGTTATTCGCGATGGGTGTTTTGCTTGCATTCGGCTCAATGGCGACCGTGAGTTTCTAAATGCGTTATTATTGATACCTCGGGAACGTGGCTGTCGTCATTAATTCATTGGACTTAGTACAAATTGCGGGAATCGAGAGGAATCACGATTCTCGATGATAAACTCCTCTATTTTATTGTTCCTCGTAATCGTTTACCGGTTCGAAATGAATATTGATAAGCTTCCCCCGATATCGTGCAGCTAATGATTCACATTCAAGTTTTCTTCAGTTGAATGTACGATAGATCGATAATGTTAATCGGTTTCTTGCCGTATCACCATTAATTTGTTTCATCGATTAATCTGATTACAGTAATTTCTCCCTAATTCGCGCTCCCTAGATCGCGCACAGAAATGAACGATTCGAGAAGTGGAGATACGATTACAGTAATTTCTCCTTAACTCGCGCGCAGATTCCACGCGAAAACGGACAATATTTATATGGAACGTTTCTTTTACAATAATTCGTTTAATAATTTAATCGTATCTCCTATTCCCAAATTGTCCATTTCTGCGCGCAATCCGAGCGCGAATCGGGGAGAAACGATCGCATCCGTTTCATCGAATATCGGGGAATGCTTTCGACGATTTTCGTCGGGCATGGTTCTCTAAATTTCCTCGGCTGAAAAGATATTCCATGAAGACGCAAGACCGGGAACTGAAAGGACCGAACAGTTCGCAATCGTCAGTTTAACGGCTTCCCGTGAATCAGCGTAACAAGTCATTCACCATTCGCGTCGATCGCTGAATCCACTATCACCTCTAATTAGTTTCAATTTGCGAGTGAACGTTGCCCGATTTTCACACGATGTTTGGCTTCCCATGACACCGATTGTTTAATGTACAACGCGGCGGGATGCTTCGCAAATATTTAACGAAGTCGCGCCTAGGCTCCGCGTCTCCCCTTTCGATCGACGACAATCATTTCCTTAGAGTTCGATAGCAACCGTTCGATCGTTTCGCATCCGAACGACGAAATCGCCGTGCGTCCTCCTTCGCCGCGATTGCGAAACGTCAAATATTAATTGCATTCGCGGGCGCATCGCGCGAAAACGTGTTTCCCGGCGTTGTTTCGTAAACGTCGCTTGAAATCTGATCGAGAGAGCCAGGAGATTATGCAGATCCCCGTTTCTGGCTACCGTGTGCAACGAAACGATTTTCGGCGGTCCTTTAACAACGTGTGCATAAATTACAATTTACAGTGCGCTGCGCGAAGGCCTGAAATTATAATCCGATGTGTGTGTAATCAACTCGGAATCGCGACGAGCCCGTGCGCGAATCTTCCCCGCGAAAAAATCATCTCTCGGCGTGGCATCGATTTAATGTAAATATTTAATAACGATGAGTCAGCTCCTTATAGGCCTCATAAAGTCGCCTGTATTATTTAAAGTGGATTCACCGAGCCTCTATTTATTGCCGTGGAAACACTCGAAGCCGCTGGAAGGCCGACACATCCTGAAAGATTTCTTCTTCTTCTCCTTCTTCGTCTTCTTCTTCCTCTTCTTTTTTCCCTTCCAAGTTAAACAAATATCGGGACTCGAGGTGAACGATTACTGAAACCGCACGGTGAAACTCTGTATTTTTCCGTTTCCGTCATTAGAACCCGTCGTCCGTGTTTTCAGCTCATTAACCCCATTATCGGGATCCCGAAACTGTCTCCAGCGCGCGCGTACGCAGCAATAACGCGCAGGAAATTGCAAAAGTTGTTGCTCCGGCCGGTTTTATATCGTGTTACGACCGGTCACGGCTTTGTTCTGCGCAAAACAAAAGAAAAAAGAGGAACCTTTTCGCGGCGTATGAAGATCTGTACAGATCGCCGTTCGCCAAAATGGCGGTCGGCTCGACCATCTGTAATTAAGACGTCGATCCGCTTGAATTCTCGAACGTTCTGTCTTAATTCGTTTGCACGCGAAGATAAGACAGATATTAATTCCGAATGCGTACTCGCGGACGTCTCATTTGACTATCTAAATTTGTCGTACACGTGTGCAAACAGCGTACAAGAGTTACACACGTGTGTGACAATTGCGGATCGTCGGTCTGCGCCCGCCTTTTCGTATTTCGGAATTCAAGATATTTTTTCTTTTAACACTGGTACCACCATCGAGCCAGTCGAAACGACTGGTTTCTGATTCGTTCTTTCGTATTTATTGGAATTATTATTATTTGTGAAAAAACTATTGTTTATTATATTATATATCGATATTATATCACACTTCGGTGAGAAATGTTTCTGCAAACTTTTTCACTGAAGCATATATTATAATAGAATGTTGATATAATAATGGAATATTATATAGAATATAATAATAGAATATTAATAATTATCAATAGAATAAAATAGAATAGAAGTTGTACGAAATTCGAGTAAATCCAACCTTGTTATTATAAAACAATTGAACATTGCTAGCGTATTATAATACAATGTTGATATAATAATAGAATATTATATAGAATATAATAATAGAATATTATATAGAATATAATAATTGAATATTATATAGAATATAATAATAGAATATTAATAATTATCAATAGAATAGAATAGAAGTTGTACGAAATTCGAGTAAATCCAACTTGTTATTATAAAATAATTGTACATTGCTAGCGTTTTGTGCTCGGTTCTATTGTTAATATCGTTCCAATGCCATTTATTGCAAAGCAGCATTGATTATTCTGCTGGTAAAAGAAGGTCGTGGTAGGATTTTTTCAAATGACTTTTTATACGAGCAAAATTTATGAAAATAAGTAAGTAAATAACAATAATAATAAGTAAAATATTGAGGCTTCGAATGTCCCTTTTTATTTAAGCTAGGAACCCCTTATAAGGTTATTAGCTTTATGTACATTGCTGTGCATAGAAACAATGTGCATATATTCACAGTTAGAAACAAAGAGAAACAAATAACATAAAATTACATGACACATAAGTAAGAGCAGTGCAGCGGCCAAAGAAACATAAAGAAATATACGTATACAGTTATAGAAAGGAACCGTGCACTTTGAGATAGTTTGACAGTGAATAACGGGCTTAGAATAAACAATCGCCGAACTCCTTAATCAACGTTCTTTTTTCTCTTTTCGTTATTCTGTCAATTCGTCGTTTTAATGTTTACTTTCTTCTCGCGAACAACTGTAACGCGGCATCGCGCACACAGAGATCGGAGCCGATAATAAAGCCGATCGCGTGCGACGAACACGAGCATCGAATGACGTATAAAGGCGAGCCGAACAAAAAAAATTAATTTTATCAGCCCGCCGGCCTAAAATACCTTCGTATCGTCACGTCCGCGAAGCCGATGTTTACGACCGGCTGTTACACAAAATCGCAAAGTACGAATGAAATTTATTTCTTCCGCAATTACGTTCCGCGGCGTATTCGTGTCGCGCTCGTATCACTCCGAGCGCGTAGATAAATTAGTAGATAAAATAGTAAATTTCGTTCGCATTCATTATATTACGTTTATCCGTCCGATTCGTATCACGGCCGTTCGTTTTCCTCTTTTTTTTTTTGTTTCGTTCGCGACGCTTGTGCCGTAAATTCATGGATGTAAACATTTTCGACGCCGGCGGCCTTCGTTATCTAAACAAAGGTGTTCTTTACGCACTCCGAGAGGAACAAACGTCATTTCCCCAGTCGATGGCGGCATTGAGCTGTAATTAATTAATGGCCGGCCTTCGACGAAAGTAAACGACGCGTTTCGTTTATTCGACGCAACTTCTTCGCGATTGTTCGCCGCGGACGCTTCATTGTTCACGCATTAAATGCCTCGATATTAACATATTAAAGGCGGGAGTCGTAGT